TAGGCAACAATGATGCACCTCCAATAATATTCAAGTTTCTGGAGCAGGTATTGAGGCAATTGAGCGGTATTAAAGATGGAGAATCTGAATACAAAATGTGGAATGTGAACTTTTGAATTAAGTAGTTTATCTCCAATGTTGTGGACTTATACTACCTCAAAGTGCAGTCGATACAACCAACTTCTGGTTCTGACTTGTTGCTAAAAAAAATGGCTGACTTTCAGTTCTCTGATAATGCCATTTGTTGTATGCTGCATGCAGTGTGCAGGAGCCTATCTAATGGCACTTCCAGTATGTGCCTTTGTGAAAGAAGTGATGTCCGTGGCACTATTTGCCTATAAGGTGCACATGTGGTGCGCAGGAAGTGACAACAGCAACTTGATGCCCTGCATATCGACTGTTTTTGCGGTTCAGTTAGAGTGTGGTTCTGGGATAATGGACCCAGACAACCAACATTATGAGCAGCCAAGTTAACATCACATTATTCACAGTAACAGCTGGTGCTTGTATGGGTTATTGATCAGGGTATTAGCTGACACTGTATGATTGCAATGTGTTTATCAAATTATCAGTCAAGCAAATTAAATCAAACACATTTGGGAATCTGTGCTAGGTATTTCTCAAATTGATCCTACCCTATTTCTGGGCATATGTGTTAGAGATTTCTGTAATATATTTTGGGTTACCAGCAGGATTTGCTAATTGTACAGTGAATATCGATCCTTATGTTTTTGACCCCAAGTTAAAGAGAGAGCAACAGCACTAGAACAGGACTGAGGTAATACACTGTTTGATCACAGGATAACAGACCATTTCCGGGTTCAAATAATCCACACCCAAGTTCTAGCACATCAGAAACCAATGCTGGGGGTCTACTGCATTACTGAAGGTGCCGTCCTTCAGATGAGACTTTAAACTGAGGTCTTGTTTTCCTCTTTAGATGGACACTAAAGACCCCATGACACTATTGGAAAAGAGAAGGGAGATTCTCCCGGTGTCCTGACCAACAATTCCCTGGATAAAATTGATCATTCACTTCATAGCTGTTTGTGGTACATTGCTGTGTACAAATTGGCTGCCACACTTGCCTACAAATACATCATTGCTGCATTTAAGAATTAAAAAGTGGTTTGAGATGCCTCAATGATGTGATAAAGTGCTATGTTAAATGCAAAAGTTATTATATTGTTATAAGTATAAAACAGATGTAAAGAGAGCTATGAAGAAGAATAAAGAGCTATGTGAACCAAGAAGACCTTGTAACTTGAGAGAAAATCTTTTGAATTAGAAGCGAACAATATGGAAAGTGGTGTTAAAGGCCCACAGGAAGGAGAGCGACGACAACAACCACAACTTGCATTTATGATCGCTGGGTGCCCAGAGCAACCAGGAGCTGACGACATGACATCTGCATCAATCCAAATGGGAGATTGTAATGCATGACATATGATTACCAATCTGGAGAAAAGAACATTTTCCCATGACAAAAGCGAAACAATCATAGGGGTAATTTAGAAGAAAAAACAAAACCATTTGCAGAATTTTCGTGAAATCAGCTACTGCTTCACAGTGGGAAAACAATTATGTTACCATTATGCAGAAAATGACCAGAAGACATATTTAAAGGTCTTTTCTCTAAACAAAAGACATCTGGTTCGCAAGACAAAAGTAATACCCTGAGACATCATCATCCTTCAAAGTGTAGTAGTTAAAACAACTGTTCTTTTTTTATGTAAAAAAGACTCTCAATTACATTTTTTTCAAAGAATACTTCTATAATGTGGTTCAGTTTAACCCACTATGAAAAGACGGTATGTTATCATGACAGCTCAGAGCGCTCTAAGCCATTGGTGATGACATCAATTCAACATTATTTGTTTTTATCTCTCCAGAAGTATGGTGACAAAACTGGATATAGAGACTAAGTACCCACATCAACTTCACACAATAAAAATGTAAAGAAAAAGTTGGCCCTTCAAGCCTGCTGTGTTTTCAGTATATTGCAACACTCACTCCATTTCCTGCCTTTCCTCCACATCCCTTAGTATCCTTACTTATCCAGTATCCATCTCTCATCATTTTGACTTTCATGGTTGGAATTATGCCTCCAATATTTTATGTGCCTTTGTAACACTTTCATGAAAGTTTTCAATGTTTGATTAATTCATGCACCTGTTTTTCCCTGATTTGCTCAAGCAAAAAGGTAAATGTAACTTCTTTCTTACCCGCTTTTAAAAGCTGGAGTGATATTTTAGTGCATCAGCATGGCAATTTGGAGCAACATTACCTTGTGAGCAATGGGTGTGTATGGGGACCTCTCACATGCATGGTGAGGTACTGAACTGATGCTATGCTCTTCCCCAAAGGGAGCAAGCAGAAGTTAATGGTTGTAGCACCCTATAATAATGAAAGATGCAGAAAATTGAAAATTTTGAGCCAAGTGTCTGGAAGATATAAGGTGAACTAAAAATTAATGAAAATATTTTTTCCACTGAAATAAAATTGAGTTTCTAGCGCTGTTTGATATGTATGTTGTCTCCCATTTCCCCTTTTTCTCCTTTTCCCATTTACGGGTAACATCTCTTAATTCTGAATTTGTTTTTATAAAAATGTAAAATAATAATAATCTGTATATGATATGGCACCTTTATGTTGGGAGAACATCTGTGAAATTAATTTAAGGATTTTAAATACACGATGAAGATGTATGAAAACATATGCAAGCAACAAGAATGATTTAAAAAAAGTTAATTACAAGATATGCAAAATCTCATCAATATTTGTCAGCCCATTTATTCACATCAGCCCATAGTGTCCTCAAGAGAACAAGATCTGGGATATTTCCAAATCTAATTTTCTTAACACGTCTTTTACAAGTTTCTCATCTTGTTCAGTTCATAGTACTCTCATCTCTGAGTCAGAAGGCTGTGGCTTCAAGCCCAAGGCTAGTGAGAGAGGCACTGAATTGCTGAAGATGCCATCCTTTGAATGGGATGTTTTGCAAGGTCCCTCGGGTGGATGTAAATGATTCTCATAAAGTTATTCAAAAGATGAGAAGTTTCTCATCAACAATTCCCCAGATTAATTGCTCATTGTCTTCAAGATATTCTTGGGATCTTACTCTGTGTAAAATGGTTTTGATATTGATTGTCTATTTGACACTTTTTGATGTAAAAGGCATAATGAGAGTTTTCCCTCTTTACGATGTATTCATATTCATTCACTCCAGACAGCCAATGTCAGCCTGATTATTTTAACCATGTTTTGAGGATCTGCTCTTACGTATTGAACATTGCGAACCAGAAAATAAATTATTTTTCAAATTGTATTCAGATTCACGGTGTTAATAAAGAAGAATATAAATGTCTAGGTTTGAGTTTAAAGGCACAACTATTATTTTTTGACACGTAAGTGTTCCTGATAAGAACACTGGTGCAAAACCTGAAGAACAGAAAAAAAAGTACAGTATCTGGAATTTCTCTCCTCCACAATCAGGGAAATAAGATCAATGCTCATGAATAGAAATTGAAGTAGGTGTCAGTGGGAGATAATCACATTAGAAAACTGTTTGTCAACTATCTGGGGGAAATAACATCTCCATCTTTGGAGACCTGAAAAACAAAGCATCTTGCAAATAACAGAGCTTTCATCACCCATCACCAATCCTTCATTGTTTTTCTGTTTTCCTATTGCAGCATATCCCTCTGGGCTGTAAAAAGTTTAATTGTTTTTCATGTGCTAAAGGTGCATTTCATCCCATACCTCTGTCAATTCCACTTTTGCACAGTAAAATTATAACAAGCTTCCTGCTCTCCTTGCCATGAAACGGTTGCCTACAAAAATGCAGTCACTATTCTTTACAGTAAAATCATGTGAAACACTTTGAGACATTCTCCTGATGTGAAAGAAGCTATATTAAATTCAAGGATTATTAATATTTACTGTATTTTCTAATGCTGATCAGGGGCACAGTTGGGGTCTAGTTTGCAATAGTTGAGAAAGAATGGGAAAAGTCAGTTATTTGAGATACAATTTCCAATTTTCACAAAATTACTAGATTATGATTTTTGGAAGCTGCCAAAGTGTGAAAATAGGTCAGAGAATAAAAATGGATGGCGGTGCGGAAATGGTGTTCTTACTCTCTGTTTTTTAATATTGAAAGTTACACCCAGGGGTGATCGTTTTGTTTGGAACATCTCCCTGTCCCTGACCCAGTTCTACACTTTTTCTTGAGATGAATCTGGTCGCATGTCTCAAAACCTGAATGCAGAGATGCTGGACTTTGATACAATTTGGGTATTGCATTCATGGTACTGAAAATGTAATCTTTGCAAATGTAGTGAATTCAGCATTTGGGTTGCACTGAGATCAAGGGAACACTGCAACGTTGAAAGGTCAACCAACGAATTGCAGCCTCCAACTCCTACAAACTCCATTACGACCTCTAGCGATTGCGACATTTTAAATAGTAAACAACTTATTTCAGGGCGATCACAATTCAGTGGACTTTTTTTTCAATATAAACTTCCAGAGGCTTCCTGAGTTGTGTTTTTTTTCATCAGGTGGCACTAAAATGTTCTTCTGCCTCTGGTTCGAGAAAACATTTGGTCAAACATCTCAGAAGATGCAACATGATGCACCCAGTGATGCCTAATTTCTATAAGTAGAACAGTAGTACACACAAAGTTAAAGCTAAGTTGTGCAAGGAGCAGCATTGCCTTATGTGTCGATGATCTCCTTGGTGAGGCGGTGCTCACCTTTGCTATTCGCTCCACGCAAAGTTTTGATCGAATGCATCGTGCGGATGAAAGACGTGGTGACTCTGAGACAGTGTGAATAATGCAATAATAATAACAGGGTACCGTTTGCATCATCTTGTGTTTTCGTGTTGCGTTGATGTGCATTCCTACAGCTTGCGTGAGATAAGAGGATAGCGTTGCTTTGACGTCAGGGCAATCTGAAGATAACTAAATAAATCAGCCACTGACTCTCTCTGTGTGTGTGTGTGGAGAGAGAGAGAGAGAGAGAGAGACAGAGGACCTCAGAAGAGCATCACTCTCCGTTTCCAGGTTCCTCTGCAACTTTGATGGGCTCAGGACTGTAGGAATCAGCGGCTGCACAAGCTCAGAAAGGATGAGATTTCAGATCATGTGTTTACTCTCCTTCTTCAGTCTATTTGGTCTATGTTCAGGTGAGTGACTGCATGCAACGACACTGGGTTTTGGAGCAGCTCAAACTCTTATTTGGGGTAACAATAAAAAGAAAACAGTTGAGTTGCGACAGCATTTCAAGTTTTGTTATGTGTTTAATACTTTGCCAATAGACCTGATGTCCACATTCTTGTGTGTTACTGGAATAATCACAGCCTATTGTTTTAACGCAGAATGCCCACTGTCCAGATTTATTGCCATTTCTCTCAGTGTTTCAGTTATGAGCAAAAGAGAACAGCAGGAATACAAATGATAGACTATTCTCTCTGCTCGGCAACATTTTCAACTTATTGAATAAAAGGCTGAACAAAAAAAAATTACTATTACACAGTGCCTGGATATTCTTGTGTTAAGTCCATTGCACAGATCCTTGCACACGATTTGTAATGCTACTTTTGTGATATTCCAGGATCTTTTACAACAACAAGATTCAATTTAAAGCTTTGAATATAATCATTGACTGAAAAATTCTTTTTTTTAAATGAATAATTGCAATAATTGCTATGCAGTACTATGCTAATCACATCATTGTAACTTTTTTGTTTATTTAAAAAAAGTGATTGATTTGGCAGGTTACATTTTTAAAAACCATGAAAGCAACATGATAATCCAAACATCCTCAAACCTTAAATAACAAATCTTGCAAGAGTTAACTTTTAATAAAGGTTAGTCAATTGTTCTGCATTCCAACACGCTCCTAGAGTTTCCCATTTTTCCAAAGGACTGAATATCTTAGTTCAAAAGATCAATCTTAATCTCTATGTATAAAATATCTATGAAACTATCTTTTGCTGATAGAGTAATTAGCTCAAAATAAAAACATGTGGAGGCCATAGGATATTAAAAATTATCATATTTTGCAAGATGTACAATACTCTATGGAATTCCCTTAAATCCAATGTGCAATCTATCTCAATGCTAGAAATCAGAAAGAATATGTCAACATGTTTTTTTAAATCCAGACTGGTTGTACACCTTTGGCGAAAACACCTAGAATAATGAGAGGAGCACAGTGATCCGAATTTCTTTAATGCAGTATAAGTCATTCATATATTCACAGGGGCTAGTTGTGTGGGTTTAGCTGCAAACATTGTCTGGGGCTAAACACTGAAACTTGTTTTGAAGATTTTTTGCAGCTAACACATTTGTGTGACTAATCACTGAAACTTGTTCTGCAGTTTTTGCAGTTAACACAGAAAGACGATCAGGCGAAGACGAACTTCTGGGTCATCTTTATGCCTTAAAGGTAAATATCCCAGTAAAACGCAAAGATCATACATAGGTTACAGTATAATGTTACCTGACATTTATGTATCACGCTGTCTTGCAGTAGATTAAAAAACGTAGAAACAAAGTACAGCTCGAAACGTAACACCTGTTTTATATTGATAGATAAAAAGGAAATTTAAAAGTCACAAAATCCTACAGTTGATCTTTCCCCTGAATCTAAGTGGAATATCTGTTTCAGAGGTATACCTATGGTATATTGTGTTAGTGCTGTCCAGATAAATTAAATATGAATGATTCATTTTGTGACCAAAATAATTATTCAAGATGCCAACCTTTACATAATGTTCATGTTGCCTGAATACAAAATATAAATGTGATATAATGTTGAATAACTATATTGATATATTAGCTATAAATAAGTATAACATTCATTATTTATTATAATTTTATAAAATAATTTCTTAACCAGTTATATTTTATTTTAAAATAATACAGTAACAATGAAAGCTTACAAATATAGTGTATCTTTGAACTACATATTATTTATATAACATGAATGCTGAAATACTTTATTTAGGTGCCTCAATTTGCACTGGAACAACATTAAATCTAGTGGCTCAGTAACTACACACTTTGAAGCACAATCTAACAAACCATTTCAGAACTTCTTAAAATAATTTATTTTTACCATCTGTCCGAAAATTATTTTAAACAGCTGAGACAAAGACGTATTAAAGCTTCTGATTTTTTTGAAGAGAGCATTTTAACCAAATAATCCTTAAACGTGAAAGCACTAGTATAATAGAATTAAAACCATACCTTCGACATGATGGCTTTCAAGCACATTATCAGAACATCAGTTTTAATTCAGTTTCCGTCTGCCACCAGAGGATTAAACTAGCATTCAATTCAGCTACACTATGTTCTTAGTCATAAATCTACAGTGATCACTAGGGTATATATACTATCAATTTCTTTGCTATCTGGCTATCAAATATCAACATGCAACCTTTGAAAAGGGATTACTGTTAACATAATTTTCATTTAACATTCACTTCAGGGGCAGTTACAAGCTTAACTGTTTCGTGATCTATTCAGTATTTTCTTCATAATCAATATGAATTGCATTCTCAATTGAATGAGTCACATCAACTAAGTGTCAGTGTACTGTATTCCTCCAAATCATTCGAACGATAAGTCCAAGTTCATATTCACACAAAAATTGTATATTGCCTATCTTTGCTTTATAATTCTGAAAAGCAATTTTTTTGCTACACAATATTGCCAGAAATATTGGATAACAAAACTTCTGTCACTATTCTCCCAGTAAAGTTGGCTGTGGCACTCTTTATCTTCCTTGTGTTTCTCATAAATTGTTTTAGTGGTTATTGTCATGGCACTGAAATCTAAAGAAATGCAGCCTACATTTTAGGTTGACATTATGTATAGCGCCTTTGGCTCTAGAACAATAGAAATTTACAGCATAGAGAAGGTCAATCAGCACATCATGTCAGTGCTAGCTCTTTGAAAGAGCCATCCATTCAGATCCATTTCCCATTTAGATAATTATTTGGGGAGGACAAGCTTGCAGGGCTATGGGGAGAAAGTGGGGGAGTATGATTGATTTGCATAGCTCTTTTCAAAGAGCCGGTACGGACTCGATGGGTCGAATGGCCTCCTTCTGTGTTGTATAATTCTATGATCCTATGATTCTATATCCGGTTTTTCCCCATATTCCTGCAAATTGCTCCTTTTTAGATATTTATTTCTCTCCTTGAAAGCTAATATGGATTCTGCCTTGACCACTGCTCAAGGGCAATCCACATACAAACAAATAACTCTGTGCAAGAAAGAACTTCTAAATCTCCACCATTGCTAATTATCTAGATACCCTCTAGTCACGGAATAACTGGCAAATGAAAATAATTTCCCCCCATCAAATCTACCAAGTGCCCTTATTTTAAAGACTTCCATAAGGTCTCTCAATCTTTGCTCAGTAAAAAATGGCCCAGTTCCACAAGTCTCTGCTCATGGGTCAAATGACTCACCAATAATATCATCCAAGTAAATCTCCTTTGCACCTTCTCTATGGCTCTGACATTCTTGCTAAAGTGGGGCAGCAAAAACTGAATAAAATACTTTAACTATGGTCCAACTAATGATTTATTCAAATTAAACGTCACCTCTGATTCTATATTGCATACCCCAATTTATAAAAGCAAGGGTTCCATTAGCTTTCTTCACAGCTTTGTCCATCTGCCATCCAATCTTAAAAGATCTATGTATGCTAACCCCCTAGGTCTCTTTGCTCTTCATTATAATATGTGATTTATAGAGGAGAAATGTCATTGTTCGTTGATATTGCCAGAGGTACTATGCGTAGTACCAACCAGAATTTCAGTTCTACGGAGTTAAAATAAGAATTATAGATCGTAAGAGGTCTTGCATAACAGTAAAGTTGAAAGTAATAAGCATAGTCGGTGATATTTTATGCTTATGAAGGCCATAAATATTAGCACTGAGGAACAGAATCCTTTCACTTCTCACATCTAGCACCTACAGCAAGGAATCCTAAGCCAACTAGTGTCAACCAGAAAAATCCTCTACTTTGCTTCAAATTCACAACACACCTTATTCTCACCAATGTCCAATTTCTAATTTCATTCATCCAGCCTTGTAGGCCCCATGCCTGGGTTACCAATTTCGGAAGAGTTTTATTTTGTGAGACATACTGTCCATAAGCTGGGTTGAAACTGCCTGAAGTCATTTCATGAGACACCCTCACAACCAGAGAAAGATTCTCGTGCTAAACCGGAACACAACACCCATAATTGAAAGGGCTGTGTGCTAACCCACTCAGTCTTTCTGTCCTGCCAAGGAGACAGACAGAACAAATTTCAATTTCCTTCAGTATCTGTAGAACTTCTACCTTGCACTTTGTTAGCCAGAGGCATGAAACTAGATCTTACTGTAAACAGACTTGGTGTTCAGAGTGCCTGAATTGATAAGTAGTCTCTCTCTATTACTATCATTGAAACTATCCTGACAAGAGATATTGGAGGAAGAATCTTTAGATTTAGATTTTCCCAGTTGTCTCCTGGTTTGTCCTTAACAAAAGTGATGAACAGGCCACCTTTGAAACAAATATATCAGAAAATATAAGTTGTGCTGATACAATTAAAATATGTGGCCAAAATAAACTGGTTAATTATTTTCTTGAAAGCGATCAAGAAACAACATGATTGCTTATTGACTGTCTATTGATTATCCAATCCATTCTGAAAAACAAACATCCTGGTCATCTGAATTGGTATAAACAAGGTGCTTCATTGATTTATTAATAGATACGTTAACTTGTCAGAAAGACAATAGAGAGAATCAATGTTAAGTAATAATGGACCATCAGGTCACAAAATCACACATGATAGTAAGGTGTTTGTTACAAAGTTGGGGAGTTAGATACCAAGGTCACAAGATTAATTTAGATGAAGAAAGTTCTTGGGCCCATCTTATGTTAACTTTCCAGAATATCTACACTACCATCCTCCCATCACAGTATCAAGCTGTTTTTTTTAAAATTGGCCTCAATCACCCTTTCTGGCAAACTGTTTTAATTGTTAATTACTCTCTAAGTAAAGAAAAATGTCCTGGTATTTGTCCTGAAATTGCCTTTTGCAACTCTAAACCCATGTCCTCTTTTTCTATTTGGTACAAGTATTGTTCTGGGTTTACATTTTCAAACCCATTTTAAATTTTATAAGGTTGCCTGAGATGCCTTCTCTGAGATGCCTTCTCCCACGAATGAAGAGGAAAGCAAAGTATCAAAGTATCAAGAACCTCTAAACTGTTGTCCCACTGAGCTATGATGGAGAATAAACTAGTGTATTAAACATATGAGTGCATTGGTTCTGAGCACTAACCTCATATTTCAAACAATCGTAGCACTCTGCTCATCAAATTGCTAAGTGTCAGCAATTCTCAACATGATACATCATGGGAGAGGATTTGAAATTGTGCCGAGGAATAGTAAACAGTTTGCTAGTTAAGACTGATATATCGCTCTATGTTTAAATTAAAATACCTAAAACATTATTAGGACAAACTGGATGACAAAATGATGGTTCAAGAAAAAAAATTATGTTCTATGGGAAATCTATTTTGAGCTATTTCCATTGCTTCTAATTTGCAGAAATTATAGCCCCCTTCAATAATAGAGAATGTGTAAAATGCATTTTTGGAATTTATGAAAGTAAATTTTGTGGAATTTGCTGGAACAAGCTGAATGTTTTTGGAAAATGCAATATTTTGAGCAACACTTTATGTAATGATCTCAGCTGGAATGGGTTACCAGGAAGAGTGACTGAGACCAGGCAGGTGGTTAAGGCCAGGACACTCGACAGCTGAAGAAACCTATTGATGCTATAATTGAAAGAGGATATGTTTGGTATTTTGCAAGGATCAAATGGGCTGGGGGGCCTTTTTCATCTGAACCTCTCTTGTGATCTTCTGAAAATGTCATAACTTCTATCCAGAGGAAAAGCCCCTTAAGAGCTCAGAAATATTTTAGATTTATATAGAGGCTTAAACAAAATACACTTCTTTTATATTTTGTAAAGCACTTTAAGGTTTGCAATTATATTTTGTAAAATCTTTTAAGGTGTGCATTTCTACATGAAAGGTGCTTGTTATTTTTAAGTATAAATTATTAGCATAAATTATTTTTGTCCAGAAAACATAGAGTGCTCAACTCTATGTTTTCTGGAGAAAAAACATATGAACTGTATCTATCTATATAGATACTTCTATCACTGGAAGTCTTACTTTATTATTTGCTTTGAAAGAAAAACCTCAAAATAAAACATTCTTGGCAGCATTTTATTCACAAGGTCAGAAAAGAAGTGGGACAGGTTGATCAACAGAAAAGAATTGTTTTATCAAAAAAAATTGCTCTCCGCTCCAAAGAAATTCAACAACAACTTGGATTTATATAGGGCCATAAATTAATATCCCAGAGCACTGCACAGTGACAGGATCAGACAAATTCAGACATTAACTGTAAACAGTTTAATGGGATAAAGAGTGGTGAAAGGGATCATAGAATCATAGAATTATACAGCACAGAAGGAGGCCATTCGGCCCATCATGTCTGTGCTGGCTCTTTGAAAAGAACTATCCAATTCAATCCCATTCCCCTGCTCTCTCCCCATAGCCCTGCAAACGTATCCTCCCCATGGTGACAGTCACCAATGATTCTAAAACGTTTGTCCAAGTCAACTATGATGGAGAGACAATCTCTATGTTGAGGATGAAAACTGTTATTATGGGATTTCAAGACCCGGAAAACCATTTCTTCTTTTTGATATCAAAACAGTTCATTATGTTCAGAGAAAAAGATGAATTATTTTATTTTGCATGAAGGGCACTATCGTCCCATGATTTTAAAACTCGCTGGTGGGGTAACTTTACAGAGGTGGGTCATTTGACAAGCCAGTAAAGGTCTAGAAAAGTGTTCCTTTAAGATTATATTAGTGTCTGGTGCTTGAATATCAGCAGTCTAGAATTGATGCAGTGTACAATGACATTACCACACCAGTGCATTTATTACATGTGGAAAGTATCACAATTGTAGATTATAGAGCATGGGTTAATATCTTCTGTAAATTTCCATTTCAAATTATAAAATACTAAACAAATACTTCATAGGAGGGAAGAACTTTTCCTCATTTTAAGAATCCTATACAACCTCACAGCAGATTGTTGTGATAGTGGTCGGATAGTGGTTCCATGTCTGCTTTGAGTGCATCTCGTGCATGGATTAATAGATGATTAAATGGATGAAGTCAATAAGCAGGTTGGAACCTTGGGTGAACTTTCAGGGTTTTGAGTATTTGCCAGGTTTAATATTATTATTTGTCTGGGTTTAAAAATAAATAGAAGATGCATTGCTGAAAGATTTTCTGCCATAGATTCGACAGTTTTGTGAAACACAAATCAGAGGAGACTATCAAACTCTGTGTGTATTTGTGTCAAATCCAAAAACTCTTCTTGGAGTAGAGAGCCTTTAATCTTTACACAGCATCTTTTGAATGATTCTACTGATTGTTCTTCTGACTTGGCATATCTATCGCAGCATGATTATCTGCCAAAACCCAAAGTAAAACTGATGACTTTCCTTTCTTCCAAATGAGTAAAATAGTGACTCAATTGACATCTTAGACAAAATAAAGAATATGTTTTGGCATATTTTGCTTTTATTCCTGTTTAAAACCATTTTGAATTGTGATAGCTCGATCTCACCCTGCTACTAACATGCTTTGTAGTTGTTTCAGAAAGCCCAAGACTATGGCGACTATGAAGATTCAACATTTAAGAAAGCCATCCAAGCAAAAAGAAGACATCCCTATATTTTGAAAAGACAAGTGCGTGTTGGAAAATTTAGAAGACCTTATATACTAAAACGCAATTCTGTTTTCATGGATTAGTTTTACAACACATGCCTAAACATTTTACATTTACCCATTTATGTATATTGAGACAAATTATCACATATAATAACTACAACGATAATCTGTTAATGTGAAAACAGCATCTTAATCTATCCAAATACATTCTGGTCTGCACTAGAAGTCCAGTTCTTCAAAAGACAATTTACAGGCTTTTTGATGTGAATTTTATTTTTGGACAAAGATAATCCTACAATTTCCCTTTTCTTTTTGCTATAAAAATACAATTCACTAGGACTTTGTACTCGTGATTCTAAATGTGTAAACTCTGTGTGCATTCTTAAGCATGTCTTTCATTCTTCCCTGCTGATGACTGTTTTATGCCACTGTTATCAGAGACTTGTCTTCCATTACGTTGTGTAATGACAATCCTCTTAATTGTGTCAAAATGCATATGGTACAAATAAGTAAATAAACTTCCATTGGCATCTAAAGTTCAAATATGGTCTGAAAAAAAATCTATTTATTTTTGTCTTGGTGCCGAATAAGACTTGAACATTTTAAAGTGTTACTGAAAACACAAAGTGAATAAAGATATCTGTGTCCAGTAGAAATCCCATTAGGTTATGTGGTTGAAGCTTCACTTTAGGCCCTGAGCTCACAGGCTTAAGCTGACACTTTAGCACATTGTTGGGGATGAAAAGCATTGTTGGACGTGTCGACATTTGGACAAGATGTTACTTTAAAATCCTGTCTCACAATTCTTTGGGAAGTAAACTGCAGCACACCAGAGGTTCCAGCTGTTTCTGCCATGATTTCATTTGGGATTTGCATCTCTTTTCTTCTGGAATTGAATGGAAAACATGTGAAATCTGAGTGTGAAACATAGTTCTGATGGGTACAAGGCAACACTGCCCAGCTGGGAATTCAATATTGTAACGTTGCAATTCTAGTAAGCTTTTCTCTAAAAAGCTTTACACAAAGCAAAGTTGTTCCAACCATAAATGTAAACAGCACAGAATGAAGCCTTTCAGCTATTCTGCCCCTGGTGTCCTTCTGACTCGCTTGCTTCTACCTTTCACTCAGGGCTAATGTCAAGATGTAGCTCCTTAACAATGTTTTCAGTGATGTTTCCATACCTCACCCACTTCGCTTCATCTCCTGCTTGGATGCCTAGCCAATGTCAAATGTTTTTAGACTCCCCCCACCCCCTCCCAAATGGCACTATATGAATGCATATTGTACTGTATTGTGCCTGTGATGCTTCTGAAAATGCTATCCTTTTAGCACCAATATCTTGCTGTTGCCCACATACCATTTTGTATCTCTCCTTTTCAGACATGTAATTTTCTCTCAAATGCTTGTATAGATTCTGTGACAACCACTTTTCTCGGTTCATCATTCTACGTCCTAACAAGACTCTGTATAAACACTAGCTTTGCTCTTTTCTTAATTAGCTTAAATCTAAGCCCTCTAGTTACTGTTTGATCGATCGGTGGAAATCATTTCTCCAGTTTACATTCCCAAAATGCCTCACAGTTTTAGATATAAAATGTAAAAAGATGTATCATCCATATAATTTAGCAGTTTGTCCAAGTTAGAGGACTAAACTAATCAATATGACTTTATATTAGTGGGTGCAGTGAGCAGCTTTTGTTTGCTCATTCTTTGTAATTGAATGTTACGTTGCATGCTGCACAGTAGAGCCCCAGAAATAATAAGGCTGTGACAAAAACAGAACAGAAAATGGGATCCTTGCATGATCTAAAGGGAAGTCGCTTTGGAGAAAGTACATCACCTCTGGAGTTTGGCAATAAGCATCATTGCATTGCTTTAAGCTGAACAAACAAACATTTGATTTAACAAATGATGCATTTAATCAACCAAAACAAAATGTTAAGTCTAAAGAATTAAGTTGCATTTTTAAATCCCCTAACCACATCTCAAAGTAGATCACAAGGCATCAGCCAGATAAGTATGATTTGTCTGAAAAAGTTCACATGTAATAATAATAATAATAATCCTTGCATTTGATATAGCGCTTTTCACGTATGTAAGTATACATTTAAATACTGCATAAAAAAGGGAGAATATTCTTAGAGTCATGCATAACCTAGACCCTTTACAACTTTCCGGTGAAAACAAACCACCCACTTATTCTGTTCCTTCGTTAAAATATCCATGGCAACAATGTACAGATCACCAGTTAAAATAAGTGTGTTCATCTGATAAAGGAAGCTGTATCCACAAAAAGATTTTATTTACCCACACAATACAAATCATTTGGAAATCTTTTAAATGCATTTAATAATGACTATGTTTCAAATAAAGAGTCTTGCGCAGCAAATGCTGGAATAGCCCAAATTATAAAAACAATTAGAATATTTGGTGTTAATGTGATTGTCAAGAATACTAGGATAATGTAAACATTCACTATTAAATTGCAGCCCCATGTTTATTAAAATGTTCATATAAATACAGGAAATAGACATCTATGGCATAGATAGATAGATAGATAGATAGATAGATAGATAGATAGATAGATAGATAGATAGATAGATAGATAGATAGATAGATAGATAGATAGATAGATTCTTATTAATAATCTATGCATTTGATATAACTCCTCATCACGGTGAGATGTCTCAAAGCACTTCACAGGATTTACTGAATTACTGTACACTTTAACAGTGAACGCGACAGCCAATTTGCGCACAGCAATGTCCACAAACAGCCATGACCAAGTGAATGACCAATTGTATTTTGGAGGACTATTGGCCAGGATACCGGGATAAATTTCCTCCTCTTTTCAAACAATGTCATTGGATCTTTAACATCCTCCTGAACAGGCAGAAAGAATCACAGTTTAACATCTAATCCGAAGGGCATCATCTCTGACAATGCAGCCCACCTGCAGAATTGTAGTGGAGTGTCAGTTTAGACTGTAGGTTGAACCCACAACGTTATGACTCAGAGGCAGGAATGCTACACACTGAGCTAGGCTATTAAGGCTTTTGCAACAAACCTCATGATTTGCTTATTCAAGCCAATTACTGGCCTAAATATTAACTTTTATCGATCTGGCAGGCTAGCCCCAAAACTGTCGATCCAGTGAATCGCTCCAGGTAATTACCTGGCCGGCTATATGTTAATTGGTTTGGCCTAGGAGAATGAGAATTTTGGCCCTTCTAGGCAGATCAGCCCCAGGAAAGCAATATTAAATAAGACAAAGAGTCTGATGTAAGGCAAAACAAAAGAGCTCACCCCAGTCAGTACATAAATTGGCAGCTTCAAAATTAAGAACTGCTTTAAGAAAAACCACAAATTTTCCCCAGTTATTCTGCAAATATAACCTAAAGCCAGAAACCCGGACATTTCAACAGTCCTTCTCGATCCCTGTACAGTGCATTACAACTTATATTTCCCCTTTCACATCGGAAGGAAGCCAGAGCTTGGCACTGCTGGTTGGGCACCTTTGATGGAGGTGCAAGACAAGGGAATGGAGAGGGAAAGGTGACTGAAAGCACGGTCAGAGAGATGTGACTCAAGACTTGCTGAGAACAGTTAATTTAGTCAAGTAAAAATGGGATATTGTTCCAATACATCCACTATCTCTAAAAGCAGTTTCAGACGGTGACTCTAGCGTTGAGAAAGAAAAATGTGTATTTGGCTGGTTGCCCAAAATCTAGATGGCAGCCAACATTTATAAAAAGCTCATGGGGAGCAAACCAAGATTCCCAAGCTGCGGGGTGTTTAGAAGCGGTTAATTATTGACTGAAATTCTGCTGTTTCATAATATTTGATCTTTTAATTAGCTCGATGAATTGACAGTATTATTGACTGTTGCTAATTTACCCTCTATGTGTTACATCTGCGATAGGCTAACTATTGTTGCACAGCATTTTATATATTGTATTTTGCCCACAAAATACAAACAGTCAAACACATTACAGTACATCCTGTAAAGCACTTTGAGGAGCCTCAATGACATGATAAGACACTGCATCAAATGCAAGGATTATTATTATTATTTTTATTATTATTATCATGGCTCTCTAATTAATGCTATTTGTTAAGTCTCGTTCTTTTGCAAAAGATAAATCTATCTGGGATTGCTGATGTTCAGTAATGCTTGCAGTGAGTACTCACAAGTGTCACTTGTATGTGCTGCAAATTAACAGACAATGACAGATTTAATTGTAAAAGAAATTAAGCATAAGCAAAAATTGTCATGTTAACCTAGTAACTCATGTATGTGAATAGTTTACTCCCAAGCATTCTGAGTTTCTCCCAGGGCTGTTTTCACTTATTAATAATAATGATAAAGTACCTTTCATGTCGGGGGGACATCTCAAAGCTCTTCACAGAATTTACTGTAAATTTGAGACTGAATTTTGTAGCAAACACAGCAACCAATTTACACACAATGTCTCACAAAAAGCGATGAAGGAAATGGTCAATTTGATCAGTGTTGGCCTGGACACTGGGAAACATTCCTTTCTTTTTTTCAATAGCAAATGGAATCTTTGCAGGGGGATGGGACTTCTGATGAATGTCTCAACCGCAGGGCGGCACCTCCAACAATACAGCGCACCTCCAGCATTGTATCAGAATGTCCGTCTAAACTGTGAGCTCAAAATCCTAACATGGTGTTGAACCTATAACCTTTTGACTCAGCGGTATGAGTGCTAATAACTGAGCCAGAATGATACAGTTGCCTCATCTGGCTGGAGTTGGGTGTGTTCTGAGGCAAGCCATAAGATAGGAGACCCATACTTCTGTGATTCATCCATTAACAGTAGCCATGGCTAGGTTTGCTGCCCAGATGCACATTTCTCTCTGACCAAAAGTAAGAAGAAGAGGACAGATAGTTAGATTACCTTCCATGGGCTATTTTATGCAGATAAATACAAGATATTAAACATAAGATGTATAATATAAAATCTGACACCATTTGAAAGCATTCAGCATTTTAATATCCACTTCCCAGTTTTGTGATTGGAAGTTATGATCTGAAAGTGCTTAAAAGACTCTTAGATGTCATTACCAATGGTGCATAAATGTCAAGAATTTTCCTATACCTGGTGCCCGCATGAAGATTCTCAATATGCCCTTTGTGCATACAAATCTAAGTTCAAACGATAAATGTTTTGGGAAGTCTGGTTTAGTTTCTTGTGAAGATATTTGGTTTTAAGTTTCAACTCGGCAGGTTATGAGGGTGAAATCTTGCAAACTGCTCTCATC